TGTGTACATTGGTTGCATTGCGAGAAATGAATTTCCCCATGAACATGGAAAGATACACCGCCATATTTTTGTCTTTTGTGCATGTGGTGAGCGGTTGAGCGAGGCCCTAAGAAAATTCACACGTATTTTTCGCCTTTTGTGTATGTGGTGAGTAGTGGAGCGACGGCCTAAGTGCATGTACACGGTTGCATGCATTGGGACCATCCCAGAATGTTGTGAGGAATGAATCTTCGGCGTGAACATGGCAAGATACACCGTGGAACGTTTGTCTTTTGTGGGTCGATGCACGTAACAAATATAGATCATCAGACTCTGTTTGAGATACAAAAAAGATGTCCAAGAGTTTCTGTTTTCTTTTTTGCTTTTGAAAAAAGAGGAAAATTTGTGTTCGATAACTTCTGTCTTTTGTTTTCGCTGAAGTTTGGACTTTCAGACTTTGTAAGTTCAAGCGGAGAGGGGAGGGGAAATGCTACCGTCTTCACCCGAATAGAACGCCCGGTCATTATTATAGCTGTATTTGGGCCAACTTTCAGTCCAGATGCAGCCATAATGACCGGGTGTTCTATTCGGGTGAAGCTGGTAGTGTGTAGCAAAGAAATAATTATTGTTGCCATCACCAACGAGCCTACAGACATGGATTGTTGAAACACAGACCTGAGTGTGAATCCACATGGAAGATGGATCTAGATTCTAGAATGAAATCAAATAATTCTGAATCACTTGGCCCCGGCCAGTTCGAGAATGATATCTCAAGCCCCCATCTCCCTTCCCCCCCCCCCCCTTCCCCTCCAAAAACAGGGCAGTGTTGCGATGGTTCTGCTGACGACTAGCAAATGCCGTGATCTGATTTGAATCGTGGACAACAAACAGGCTGTGAAGCTGGAGATTAATAAAGAGCCAGACCTTTCCACGGCCCTGAAGGCGCGTACACATCCTACCTTATATTTTATCGAGGACGGGAGAGTCTTGCATAAGCTGGAAGTCGACGAAGGTGACGAAGGTGAGAGGAGGATCAAACCCCGAGTTCCATGACCCCGGGTTGTGTTTGCTCACTTTCGGGACATCCGTCAAAAGTGGAAAAGTGGAAGGATACAGAGAAAGAGGCGATTAGCATGGCCCCCTGCGCAAGGATGACACACATGAATTGAGAAATGTTCCATATCAACAGGGGAAAAAAAAAGGAACGGAAAAAAGGAAAAAAAAAGAAGCAGGTGGTGTTTGCTAAACTTTTCTTCCCTCCCCCT